GCCTGCTGACCCCCGACCCGGCCTGCTGACCCCACCACAGCCCTGCGCCCCGAGACCCGGCCCTGCACCCCGGACCCGGCCCTGCACCCATACGTGCCTGACCCCCCCCTTTGTCAGGTGGCACACAGGATCCGGCCTGGCGCCCGTGGCCCCGGTGCTCAGCGGCCCTGCCTCACCCCCGAATCCACCCCCTCCCGCTCCCCCAGTTCCTCCCTGCGGGGCCCAGGTCGGGGGCAGAGGCTGGGGGTGCGCAGGGGCCACAGCTCCACCTGCGTCTCTGCTGTTCCTGGGAGATCAGTCGCACGCTTACCCGCTGGGGCTGGCTTCGAACCAGGATCCCTGGATCTCAGCCCCTGAGAGGTGGATTACAGGTGCGGAGGGGCGCCCTGGCCTGGCCCGGGCCTTGGCCTCCCCGTCTGCCATTCCAGCCTCGCTCCCTCTCACATCCCTGACTCAAACGGAGAATTGTCTAGAAGGACTTTTCCAAGTGCTAAGAACATTCTAGAAAATAGAAGACCTTGACCAGATGGGGAGCCACAAACAACCCAAGCCTGCCCCCTCTTCCCAGCCCCAAAACAACAACAGGGGGCTCAGGTTCACGCCCGGAATCCCAGCGACTCAGGAGACCGAGATCGGAGGATCGCGGTTCAAAGCCAGCCCGGGCAGGAAAGTCCGTGAGACTCTGATCTCCAATAAACCACCAGAAAACCGGAAGTGGCGCTGTAGCTCAAGTGGTAGAGCGCCAGCCTTGAGCTGAAGAGCTGAGGGACAGCGCCCAGGCCCTGAGTTCAAGTCCCAGGACCGACAAAAAAAACAAAGGGCAAAGGCTTTGTGTGTTCCTTTTCTTGTTTCATGGTGGGTCTCGGGGTTATTCAGGGGAAGTCAAATGGTTTGAGAAGCCAGGGATTTTATTTTAATATTTTTATTGAATGAGGGAAAGGGGTGACATTGTCCCCCGAAAAGAAATGTACCCTTCACCTGACGTGATCATGTGACGCACATACACACACACACACACACACACACCAGCTTTATCGTGACGATTACACCCTGCGCATTTGGAGGAAGGTGTGGCCAGCGGAGCGTCCGGAGGCCGGGCTCCGTGCGCAGTCCTTCAGCTGGTGGCTGGAGAGAGGGCGGCCGGTTTAGCCTCTTCGCTCTTTTCAGTATAAATGGCCGCTTAAATGTCAGCAAGCTGGGGTCAGCAAGTGTCCACTGATGTGCCATCACAGTGCCCTCCGTCTGTCTGTCTGTCTGTGTGTCCTCTTCCTGTCTCTCTGATCTGTCTGTGTCTCTCTCTGCTCTGTCTCTCTGTTCTCGCTCTCTGTCTGTCTCTCTGCTCTGTCTCCCTGACAAAGGGCTTCTTGGTGTCTTCAAGTTCAAGGGCGCAGACCGCAGTCCACCTCGGCCGTCTGTCGGTGTCCCCCCAATGGAGACAGGGAAAATCCAGAACCCTGGAACCAGAGGAAAAGCACGTGGACGCCAGGCGTCCACGCCGAGGCCCAGCCTCAGGGTTGCGGGGGGGGGGGGGGAGTTCTGCATCTCCACATCCTAACTGTGGGTTCGGGTCTCCATGGATCTATCCATCAGCAGGGCTTGGAAGCGTCTGCAAGAGCCTGTCTTATGGAGGTGTGTGAATGCTGTGTGTGAGAGAGAGACAGACAGACAGAAGAGAGAGAAAGAGGGAGAGAGGGAGAGGGAGACCCAGGCACCAGTGGCTCCCGCCTGTCATCCCAGCACCTCAGGAGGCTGAGATCAGAGGATCGCGGTTCAAAGCCAGCCCGGGCAGGAATCTCTGATGCCCAGCTGGACCAGCAAAAAGCCAGATGTGGAGCTGTGGTTCAAGTGGTAGAGCTCCAGCTTTGAGTTGGGGAGAAAGAAGCCCAGGGACAGCGCCCAGGCCCCAGGCCTGGCCCCAAGAAAGAAGTGAAAGAAACGAACATATTTTAAGAGTGGCAGGGGCTCTGACCCCCCTCCCGTCTCCCTCCCACCGCACTCCTGCCGGTGATGGGGGGAGGTTAAACCACCAGGAGGCGCTGGCTTTGTGCTCCGAACACATTATCCGTTTTTATTGAAAAACATGCTAAAAACATAGTATTCAATGAAGCGGGGAGGGGGGGGGCAAGCGGAAAGTGCATCGGAAACCAACAAGCGGGTGACCTGGGCCGGGGGCTCCCGGGGGAGGGGAGGGCCCCCCTCACTGTGGTGGAGAGCGAGAGGGGCCGCCGAGCCCCGAGCACCCCCCCAGCCCGACCCGCTCCATAGCACCTCCGCCGGCGGGCGGGCCGGCCTGTGGCTGCCTCAGTTTCCCCATCTGGCTGCGAGTGTTATCAAGGCATCCCAGGGGCAGGCCGAGATGCCGACCCAGCCTGGCAGGGAGTCGGGGGGGGCCGGCACCCCGATCCCGCAGCTGGTCACCCGGGGGCCGGGCCTGCCGGGCGGTCACCCCGGCCTGAGCCACCCCCTGGGGGCGGGGGGGGCTGGGGACCCCCCACATACTTGGCTTCTGTTGCTGATATTCACAAATGATTAAAAACGGCCCCGGCCAGGGATCGCCCCTCCGCTCTCCCTTGGGGGGGTCCCCAAGAGGCAGCTGTCCCCTCCCCGGGGAGCGGCCGGGGCCTGG